ATGGTGTGGAAACTGTTGTTGTTCCGGTAGATATGATGGAGGATACTCCGTTGTGGGAGACTCTTCTTGAGGGTCGATTTCTGTCAAGTGCTCCTCATATCGCCAAGGTGCATGTGATCGTGAAGAAGATCTGGCCGTTAGGTGATAAGTCAATCAAAATCGACGTCTTTGAGGTAAACTCAACGACTATGAAGTTCCGTATCAAAGATGAATCGGTTCGAGCTCGGGTCCTTAGAAGAGGAATGTGGAATATCGCAGATATTCCGATGATCGTCACTAAGTGTTCCCCAATTGTTGAGGAAGCGCAACCTGAAATCAAAAATATTCCAATGTGGGTCACTTTGAAGAAGGTTCCGTATATGATGTACTCATGGAAGGGATTGGGTTTTTTTGCAAGCGTGGTGGGTGTCCTCAAGAGGCTACATCCTGACACAGAACTATGCAAAAACTATGATGAGGCGAAGGTATTTGTGGAGGCAGATATGTCGAAGGAATTGCCAAAAAGCCATCAATTCGAACTGCAGGGAGGAATCAAGGTCGTGGTCGAGTTTTCATACCCCTGGTTGCCACCAAAATGTTCCACCTGTCAAAAGTGGGGACATTTGGCAGACGTATGTCTTGCTAAAACAGGACAGACTAAGTCAGGGCAGGTTAAAATTCTGCAAAGAGATGGAGTTGCAGAGAGGAGTTCACGAGCGAAATCAAGATCGCCAAAAAATTCAAGTCAGAACAAATCCATTGTAGTGGTGGAGGAGAACAGGGCTGACAAGACAGTAACCAATGAGTCCGAAACATCAAACATCAGAGATTCGATTGTAGAGCAGACAGTGAAAGCTTTGGACCTAAATCCCATCGCGATAGCTGTTGTGTAAGAGGGTCAAGAAACAGGGGAAGCTGCGTGGTGCACAGTATCTCCGAGTAAAGCTAGTCGTCAGAATGAACTTCCTCATTCTGACATTCAGACAACGAACATTTCATCACCATCTCGTTTTGATATCTTATCCAGAGTCGAACTAAATGATGATGATGTGGTGGGTATAAGAGAAATAATTCCTGGTCAGAATGAAGAAGGAAAGTTGAGTGATGGTGATGATTTGGAGAAGGAGGAAGGAGAAATACTATCATCAGCGTTACCAGGCAAAGGACAAGAGAAGCAGTTGGAAACGGGTACTCGGACGTCTCTCCACAGAGCAGCCAAGACCTCACACAAGCTTCTTGCTAATACGGTTGCTGTTAACACAAAGGATCAAGGTCCGAGTGTTGCAGCAAAGAAGAAAAACCAAACCAAAAATTAGATGACAGGGTTCTTCTAGAATGTGCACGGATTTAACAAAACCTTAAAACATTCTGTGGTGAAGAAGTGGTTGAATGAAGGATCTTTTCAATTTGTATGCTTACTTGAGACTCGAGTCAAGGAGAGTAAGGCTGTCCAAATTGTATCATCAGTTTTTCAAGGATGGTCTTTTCTATCAAATTATGAACATCATCGGTTAGGTCGTATATGGATTTTGTGGAGTCCAAATGTGCGCCTAACACCTATGTTCAAAAGTGCTCAGTTGGTAACCTGTTCGGTTCAGATTGTGGGCGAGTAGGATGAGTTTATCTGCTCGTTTATATATGCTTCGAACTTTGTTGCCGAAAGAAAAGAGTTGTGGGCAGACCTTAAATCTCACCAAGATTCCCCTGTCATTCGCAATAAACCGTGGATGTTAATAGGGGATTATAATGAGATTTTAGATATTGAAGAACACTCTGATTGTATCAGCTCGCCGATGATTTCTGCTGGTACGAGAGATTTCCAAGAGATTGTAGGATACTTCTATCTCACGGATATTACTTATCATGGTCCATTGTATACTTGGTGCAATAAGAGAGATCAGGGGGTAATTAACAAGAAATTGGATCGTGTGCTGGTTAACTACATCTGAAATCAGAGCTATCCGAGATCGTACTCTGTTTTTGAGCCAGGAGGGTGCTCGGATCATCTTCGCTGTCGTTTCTCACTTGATACCCCAGGTGAATCGACGAAAAAGCCTTTCAAATTTATGAATGTGCTTACGGAACTAGAGGACTTCTTGCCAACAGTTTCGACTTTCTGGGGAGAAACTCCTACTCTGTTCCAATCAACCTCGGCTCTATTTCGTCTCTCGAAGAAACTTAAAGCCCTTAAACCAAATCAGAGAGAACTAAGGAAAAAAAAGAATTGGCAATTTGCAGAGTAGGGCGAAGGATGCTTGTGCTAGCTTGTGTGAAAAGCAAGCTATTACTCTTACCAGCCCGTCACCACACTCGGTCCAGGAAGAAGCTGATGCTTTTCGTAGATGGGAACGTGTTGCTGGTTTGGAGGAGAAATTTTTGAAACAAAGATCGAAGCTCCACTGGCTTAGCGTGGGAGATGGGAGCAATAAGTATTTTCATTTGGCAGTGAAGGAACGAGAGATGAGGAATTCAATCAGGGAAATAGAATGCCCAAATGGTGATATTGTTTCGACACAGAGTGGAATTAAGGGTGAAGCAGTGCGTTTTTTTCAGGAATTCTTGCAGTTTGAGCCGACTGACTTTGAGGAGGTATCAGAGGATAGATTGAGGGATTTGCTTGCTTTTCGATGTTCGGATGCGGATCAGGACTCTCTTACTCGGGATGTAACTGATGAATAGGTGAAGGAAGTTCTGTCTAAAATGCCCTCAGATAAATCACCGGGGCCAGACGGCTACACAACGAAATTTTTTAAGGCTGCTTGGACAATAGTGGGAACCGATTTTACAACAGCTGTTAAATCATTCTTCACATTGGGTTTCTTACCCAAAGGACTAAATTCAACAATATTAGCTCTGATACCAAAGAAAGAGGAAGCAAAGCAAATGAAAGACTATCGCCCTATATCTTGCTGCAATGTGATTTATAAGGTGATATCTAAGATTTTGGCTAATCGATTGAAGACTATCTTGCCTTGGTTTATTGTTCCCAATCAAACTGCTTTTGTAAAAAAACAGGCTTCTTCTTGAGAATCTACTGCTGGCTACTGTGTTGGTTAAAGATTATCATAAGGAAGGGATTTCTCCGAGATGTGCTATGAAGATAGATATTTCCAAAGCTTTTGACTCAGTTCAGTGGTCATTCCTCCTCAAAAATCTTTCTGCTTTGAACTTCCCTGACAGATTCATTCATTGGATAAGACTATGCATCTCAACCGCTTCTTTCTCTGTACAAGTCAATGGAGAGTTGGCAGGTTTTTCTCGAAGTAAGAGAGGTTTGCGACAGGGATGCTCGCTCTCACCGTATCTTTTCGTTATCTGTATGAACGTTTTGTCGAAGCTACTTGACAAGGCCACTGCAGATCGGAAAGTTGGGTACCATCCGCTATGCAAAAACTTAAACCTTACCCACTTATGTTTTGCTGATGATCTGATGGTGTTTGCGGATGGCAAGCTGAGGTCTATGGAGGGTATCATCGATGTTTTTGAGGATTTCGCTAAGATATCGGGTTTGAAAATCAGCTTGGAAAAATCGACTCTGTATATCGCGGGAGTGACGACCCTAGAACGACAAATTATAGTGCAAAGATTTCCCTTTGCCATAGATACTTTACCGGTAAGATACTTAGGCCTGCCTCTAACGACAAAGCGAATGACCAGCGTGGACTATTTACCTCTCTTAGAGAAAATACGAACGCGTATTCGGTCATGGCGAGCTCGCTTTCTGTCTTTTGCAGGTAGACTGCAACTTCTGAAATCAGTTTTGATGAGTCTGGTGAATTTCTGGTCTGCAGCATTTTGTCTTCCCCGCGAGTGCATGCGCAGCATTGAACAACTCTGTTCTGCATTCCTTTGGTCAGGACCCGATTTGAATACAAGAAAGGCAAAAGTTGCCTGGATCGATGTCTGCAAACCCAAAGAAGAAGGAGGATTGGGTATCCGATCCATTACAGAGGTCAACAAGGTTAGCTGTTTAAAACTAATATGGAGGATCATTAATTCACATTCATCATTGTGGGGGAGGTGGATTAAAATATATCTCCTGCAAGGGGCTTCTTTTTGGTCTATTTCTGATAATAGTCAGGCAGGGTCTTGGATGTGGAGAAAGATTTTGAAACATCGAGAGTTAGCAAGGCAATTTTTCAGAGTGGAAATTGGCAATGGCTATGATACTTCTTTCTGGTATGATCAGTGGACATCTCAGGGCATATTAATTGAAAACACGGGCATTGGTGGGAGGATTGGTTTGGGGATCCGACTGCAGGAGACAGTTGGATCGGTAATGGATAGCCACCGTCGAAGATCGCATTGAACCACGATCTTTAATGATATCGAGCAACTTATCTCAGATCAGACGATGCGGCGAACTTTGAACAGTGATAGAGTTCTATGGAAATGGAGCAATGACAAATACAAACCGAGTTTCTCGTCACAAGAAACTTGGATTCAGATCAGGGGACGACATCCTCGAGTTAGCTGGCATAAGGGAGTATGGTTTTCTTTCGCAACTCCTAAGTACTCATTCATTGTTTGGTTGGCAATTCTCGATCGGCTGGCTACCAAAAATCGTATGGCATCTTGGGGCAGAGGAGTTACTACGGAGTGCGTGTTGTGCAGGCATCCGCAGGAGACCAGGGATCATCTCTTTTTCTCTTGTGCATTTATTGCAGCGATCTGGACAAACCTGGTGAAGAATCTGATGGGCACTCGTTTCACGACAACATGGAGCGACTTAATCTCTATTCTTCAGGACTTGAACCAATCAACCACAGACCTATTCCTTCTTCGATACTCATTTCAAGCAACGATTCACTGCATTTGGAGGGAACAAAATAGAAGATGCCATGGAGACGCACCATCTACTACGCATCTTCTCACAGTTTTCCTAGACAAGTGCATTCGAAGCAGACTCTCTTCTATTCGAAAGCTGGGTTCTGGCAGATATGAAGATGGCTTGCAACGGTGGTTTGCCACCAGATAGCACCAACACAATTTTATTTAGAAAGTCGATTATGTAATATAGATCAATCACCATTTGATTCCCAGTTGCATTCTTTGTAAAAACGTTTTTTTGATTAATAAATTTTACATTCTTCAAAAAAAAAAAAAAAAAAGGCTACAAAGTTGAGAGTGAGATGCATACCATGTTGTATTTGGCCTCTTTATGGGAGAGAGGACTGTCGTGTAAGCTTCCCTACCAGGCTGAGTGAGAAATGCATTCAGGATTCGCATCTGGTTTTCCGCGAGATTGGCTGGGAAGAGATCTTCTTCTTCTTCAAAGGTGGCTCTTTCACCCGCTTGAGAGTTGTGAGCTTCACATTTTGGAGATGTTTGTTCTTCAGACATTGGAGAGGGTCGGTGATGAGAGTGTGTAGAGTTGACAGGTTGAGGCGGCGGAGAGGTGCGAGGTTGAGACCATGGAGAGTTGACAGGTTGAGAGTCGGAGCTCTGACGTTGACTCTGTGAGTGCTGGAAAAGCTGATTTGGCCGTGGATAATCCCTCACCGAGACTGATGGTGGGCATGTGGGCACAAGCGGTGGTGGAGATTTGGATGTCCTTTCCGGAGTGAAATCATATCGGTTAGGAAGAGGGGATGGGGTTCTCGCATGCGAAGGAGATGCACCTCCCCTTCCACCTCCCCTTCCACCTCCCCCTCCACCTCCTCTTCCTCGTCCTCTCTTCTTTCCAGTGCCAGGCATCGAGATTATCGACTGAGATTAGGGTTTAAGTTCGGGAATAGAAATAAATTTTGTAGATTTAAGGAAGGGGAAACTGGTTAAGAGAAGAACTGAATGTTGGGAAATGAGATTAAACACAGAGATTGAAGGAGATTGAAGATGAGATTGAAGATGAAAAGGAGATTGGGGTTTGTCGAAAGAAAAGTGAATCGAGGAAAATGGTTAAGTGTTTGTGGAAAATGGATAAGTGTTTGTTTTGGGCTGGATTTGGATTTAATTAGGTTTTTGATTATTTTGGACCAAAAATTGCAGTCGCAAATTCCCGACTACTATCTAGTAGTCATTACTTAGTCATTATTTGGTGACTCAATTACGACTATTTTTATTAGTCGTTAATTCGCGACTGATTTGTGACTGCGTCATTAAATAAAGGCAAATCAGTCGCCAATGAGTCGTGAAAATTAGCGACTAGTATATCAGTCGCTACATTCAGTCGCTAATTCTCTGTTTTCTTGTAGTGATAATATAAATCATTATTTTATAAATATCTTTTGTCTACATACGTTAAAACTAGATATCTAAACTGATTACAACATAATCTCGTGCATAGCACGGATCAAAATCTAGTTCTTCATAAAGTAATGCGCCGAATGTTAAGAATTTGATAACATTTTTGTCAAATAAATTAAGTTATTATAGATAGAAAGATCTGTATTATATTTGTTTTCAATATTAAAATATGTGTATGTGGATCATAAATTGCAAATTAAGTAAAAATAATTAAACGTTGATATATATTGTAATATTTAGGGACTAATATTTTTAATGTATGTTTAATTTTTAATAAGATGAAAAATTTTGAACAATGTAGTAACATATTTATTAATTCATTTAAATATGGTTTTTTATAATATTGATATTATTTAATATGAATAATTATTGTAATATGTTATAAAGATATTAAGGAATTACGTAAATAATGATGATAACTTAATTTATAAATTATTAAACTGATGTAAATATGTCGAATTATAATAATTTCGAATTATTACAATGAATGAACGAAAAGTAAAAATATTGTATTATAAAATAAACAATTAAGCCTATTAATCATCTGTAATATCATAAACTACATTCTAGTCTGTGCGTCCACACCTAAACAATTTACTATTTTTTATTTGTATAATATAATTTTTATTTTCTAATAAATAATAAAAAATTTGTTTACATATAATTTATTTCTACTGATTTTTTTTTTAGTATTATATATGATCGTAATTAGAAAACTATTCTTCTAACCCATCTGTTTATATTAATCTGAAAATATCATAATTAAAAAACATTATTATAACATGCTCGTTTATATTAATCCAAAAAAAATCGAGATTATTAAAACATTTAACATGTCCGTTCATATTATTTGTATATTTTAAATATTTAAATTTTATACTTATTTAATAAAAATATACAATAATATATTATTTTCAATATTGTCATCAAAAATATTATTTAAATTAAATATTTAAATGAAATCTAAACTAATATCTGGGTTATTATTTTTGTAAAGATATAATAATAACTTATTTTATAATTTTTGATAATATAACCTATATTTAAGTAAATTTATAAAAAAAAACTAAATTAAAAACTAAATTTTCAGATTTGTATTAAAATAGAAATTGAAAATACATTATTTTATTAATATTATATTAATTTAATTTATTTAGTAAATCTAAATTAAAATCAATATTTTTGTTTAGTAACAGAAATAACAATTATCCAAAAACAGAGTAATACGAAATCAAGTAAAAATTCTGTTTGGACACAAAACACCCTTCTCCTTTAATAGTATAGATTGTTACAATTGACATCTTAAATTTCTAATGTATTAATTTAATTGTTTAATTTAAAATAAAGAATTTTATGTATTTTTTCTTATTGCACGTTATAGTAAATTTATAAAATCAGATTCCAATAACGAATTTCAAAGATAATAGTATGGTTGAACTAAATAAGGAAAATACATAAAGAATAAATAATTAAGAATTAGAAATATAATTGGCGGATTGAACTAAATAAGAAAAAAAAAGATTAGAAGGTGGAACAAAATGAATTGTTTAAATAGAAAAAGCTAAAAAAAATTGTGGAAATGACACCTCAGCAAAATGGCTTCTAAATTATTTCTGTTTAATGTATAGAGGATGGAGAACTCATAACAAAGTTTAAAATTCTTAGATAAACTATATCGATACCAGACCGGGCTCGAGCCTCGGGTCTTGGTACATGGGCCTACAGACGAAAATGATTCTTTTTGCAGCCCGTTTTAGATTTATATCTGATCAATATACAATCAAATATGGTTAAGTTGTAAAGTTTCCTCATGAATAAAGAAATCGTTGAGTAATGTCATTTTGTAATCAAACCGAACTAAAGGAATCAAGTCAATGTCTAGTTAGTTTCTATGTGTAAAAGAGTTGTAGGAGTGTTGTAGGAGAGTTGTTGAAACAGTGGAGTACTGGTGTAAGAGTTAGTCATTACCTACAGCTAAAAAGAGGAGAGTGGGAGCCGGTGGTGGCAGGTGAAAACAGAGAGAAAGAAGCTGTGTTGTATAAGTCTTGCAAGTGTGTTTTATGTTTTTTTTTTATCATGAAAGAATGAAGGAGGTGTTCAGTGTTCTGTCTCTTACAGATCAAACACTAAACAAACATGAAAAAATTGAAGAGCAAAACTCTGTTTCCTAAAGATAGTTCAACATGGTATCAGAGCTCATGATGATTCATGGAGCCTCTTTGAACAAGAAAGAAGTTGTGAACCAATAAGGTTCAGCAAAGAAGAAGGCCACGGTCAGAGAAACCAAGGCGATGGTTCTAGAAACCAAGATGAACAAGAGGGTGATCGAAGAAGACACCAAACCGAGAGAAAAGAAACTTCAACTGTCTCATGAACATGATGAAGGAGAAGAATATCACATGTTCAATGCTAGACAAGAAGATGAAGAGTCAAGTGAAGGAAGCAAATGGCTCATAGACAGTGGGTGCACAAACCACATGACGCCAAATGAGAAAATGTTTGTCAAAATCAACACAAGCATAAACGTTCCAATAAGAGTTGGAAATGGAGTGGTGTTAATCTCAAAAGGAAAAGGAAACAGCTGCATCATCCATGATAAAGCTGGGAGAGAGATAGGTGAAGTTTCGATGGTGAACAAGAGTTTTCATATCAAATGGCCTTCAAATGAAGAGACTGCAATGGTGGCTAAGAATGATGTTGCAGAGTTATGGCATAGAAGACTTGGACATATAGGAAGCTCAACTCTGAAAGTGATGCAGTCAAGAGAGATGGTAGTGGGCTTGCCTAAGTTCAAAATGAATCACGAAAAATGTGAAAGCTGCATCATCAGCAAGCATAGCCGGGACTCATTTCCACAAGAATCTCAATCAAGAGCAACAAGAAAGCTTGAGCTGATACACAGTGATGTATGCGGACCAATACAAAATACCTCCTTCAGTGGAAACAGGTATCTTCTCACCTTCATTGATGATGCAACAAGAATGGTTTGGGTCTATTTCTTGAGAGCTAAATCAGAGGTTTTCCAAACCTTCAAAAAATTTAAGAACCTTGTTGAGAATCAATCCAACTGCAAAAGCAAGAAGATTAGAACAGATAGAGGAACTGAATACTTGTCAAGGGAATTCACAAATTTCTTGGAAGAAAATGGCATAGAGAGGCAACTGACTACAGCCTACTCACCTCAACAAAATGGAGTTTCAGAAAGAAGAAACAGAAGCTTAGTGGAGATGGCCAGAGCCATGATTAAAGCAAAGGATTTGCCATTAAAATTTTGGGCCGAAGCTGTGTACTCTGCAGCCTATGTTCAAAACAGAGTCTTAACGAGAACTCTTAAGAATAAAACTCTACTTGAAGCTTAGAATGGAACAAAGCCATCAGTAAACCATATGAAGGTGTTCGGGTGTGTATGCTATATACATATACCAGATGAAAAGAGGAAGAAATGGGAAGATAAGTCAAAGAAAGGGATATTTATTGGATACAGCTCTCAAACAAAAGGTTACCGAGTATATCTGATAGAAGAAAAGAAGATTGACATCTCCAGAGATGTTATCTTTGATGAAAACAGCAAATGGGATTGGAACAAACAGGAAATGATCAAACAAGTGAGTCTATCATCTGAACCAGATGTTATAGATGAAAGTCCCAGCGGTGATGAATCAGAGTCAAGCAGTGACGAGTTTAGAGAGAGAAGAGATACTTAGCCAAGTCTCTTGAGCCCGAATGTGGATACACCTGAATGAAGCTCAAGTCAATCAAACAGAAAGACTCGATCCCTTGAAGACATTTACCTCAATGCTCCGTATGCAAACATTGAGTTCTCTGCAGTTAGTGAAGGGTGTTATTCAAGTTTTGAAGAACCAGCCATGTTTGAAGAAGCTGCTAAACACAAAGAGTGGAGAGAAGCTATGGAAGAGGAAATAAAAATGATTGTCAAGAGTCAAACATGGGAGTTAGTCAAACAGCCTGAAAACAAAAATGTGGTTGGAGTCAAGTGGATATACAGGCTAAAACTGGATGCAAAGGGCAATGTGGCAAGGCACAAAGCAAGGTTGGTGGCAAGAGGATTCACGCAGCAGTATGGATTTGATTACCAAGAAACCTTTGCTCCTATGTCTAGACATGAAACAATTCGAATGATTCTTGTTGATGCAGCTCAAAGAAGATGGAAACTGTTTCAGCTTGATTTTAAGTCGGCTTTTCTAAATGGAAAACTTGAAGAAGAGATATATGTCGAGCAACCACTTGGATTTGAAGAAGAAGGAAAAGAATATCATGTTCTTCACCTGCATAAAGCCCTCTACGGTTTAAAACAGGTTCCAAGAGCATGGTACAGCAGGATTGATGCATTCTTTTTGCAAGAAAATTCAAGAGAACCGACAATGATCATGCATTGTACACAAAAGAAGATCAAGCGAAGATTCTAGTGGTGTGTATCTATGTGGATGATC